AGTCGCTCAGCTGTGGCTAGGGAAAGAGTGGCCCTGACGAGTGGAAGTGTTTAGTTGCTGCTGAAGCTGCCGCCATTTTGACAGTATCTAAAGTACTGTATTTCCTTCTGTACAGAACAGGCTTACTATTGCAGGTTAACTTCTCTGCCTGAATGTGTTGCGGGTGACCTTGAGGCCAAGCAAGAGGCTATCCTGTGAGACATCAGAGAGAAGCCCAACCTCTCTTTTCTGTGTTGTACAAGGAGACTAGACCAGATATTTATTGGGAGACAATCTGGTCAGTTCAATCTATTAGTCCTTGTAGATTGTTTGGGCAGAGATAGTGTAGCACTTCCTCATAGCCTTTTGGGTATACCTGAATTGTAGAGAGTTGCTCAACTGTAGCTGAAGCAAGAATAGCCCTGGCAGGAATGTGAGAAACCTGGCCAGGCCCATTGTCAGGGCCACTCTACCCAAACAACTACCAGTGCACTGAGCCGACTCCGCAGAGTACTCACTAGTCTAACTAGCTTGTGAGAGAACGATCACGTCTCTATTCTTCCGGTAGGTTGTCCGAGGTCACTACAAGTCAGGTCGAAATCCTAAAGAGAAACCCAACCTAAACCGTACTTCATTCGGTTTAACAGACAAGGGTTTATCCCTACAACAGGATTGATGACTCCACCAGGTGATCGACTGGACGCTCGAGGTGTTCTAATATGAACGCTGGGGTTCTATAGTTACGAGGCGCAGTTGACGCGCAGAGCGGGAGGGAGAGCAGATGGGGGATGTCTTGGATCAAACAAGAAACTCTGACTTGGCCTTAACTGCAACTGGGCTGAGAAGGGCAGAGGATTTCCTGAGGTAACAAAACTAAGGTACAACGATACAGCCACAGTTGCTACTTATACTAAAGGAGTGGCCATGACGTCAATACCCTAATATACCCTTATCAAGTCCGAACAAAGGGAGATAAGGAGTGTGAGAACGCTAAGTAAGGGAAGCAAACAAATATGACGCGTGGGAGAATAAAGGACAAAGGGCCTTACTAGCGTGTGAAGGATTGCATAAAAGATAACGAATGTCTGCATGAAACATAGGGGTAAAGATAACACTAGTCCTAAAAGAAATAGGGGCATGGGGTCATGAAAGTTCGTACCTGGGGATCACACCCAAGGGCTAGGTGAGAATCTTCTTGGATGCTTCCTTTGGAGAGGCCAAAGATAGAGACCACACAGCATCACGGACTAGTGGCAACCTTATCGTGCGTCCGAACACGAGGAGCGTGGGCCTAGACTCATGGGACATAAGGGATTACAGATTCGCCGGCATTTCACGCTAACGGCTACTTCCACATTCGCTGGGCTAAACAAAAGGAGTCTAAGGCACTCCTTCCGAATAACGGCGATTCCTTCCTCCGGTTAGGAGACTGTGATGTGACTGTCCACATGTGTGATCAGGGTCCAGGGTTGATCGTAATCGTAAAGTCATGAGGGGTCGTAAAAAGGGGTTCGTGATGTCATAAAGGGGTCATCAGGGTCTTGAGACCTATTTTTAGTGCGCACGCGTTATAGGCGTTCCGGAACGAAGTTCTTCCAAGGCTGTCCCGCGGGCCGAGGTGTCAGCTTGATGTAGTAAGCCAACGATGATGGTACAGGGGCGGAAGTTGATGTGACCCGGACCAATGAGGTTCGTCGAGGTAGGTCACGTGAAGGATCACCGATCTAGGCTATAAGAAGGACGTCTTCTTGGAGCCATCCTTGATCAGCAACACCAGCAACTTCCCCATCATCTTACTAACATGTCTTTCCCCAACAACCATACCTATCAAGTCGTCAATGGTATCTCCACCATCTCTCGTATCGACCGCCGTGCCGCCAACCGCAAGTCCTATGCCAGTGAGGCGGGGACTCCCTATACCACTGATGATCAGGTATGGGGGAGATCTAGGGCTTCTTATGCTTGCGCTAACATCTTCCTCTAGGTAGAGGTTCCGTTCTTTTGGCGTTGATGTCAAGCTAACGGCTTCTAGATCTTGGAGGTCGTCACAAAGGTGGACACCGAACGTCTCAGGGAGACGATCCCACATTTGATGGGGTTGACCTGGGACGATGAGCTCTGGGTCCGGTTGATGATCGCTGAGAAGGTGATCTTCCAGATGCGGGGTAGGTTCGGGGAGCTGGAGCATCCGATTAAGAAGGAGCTCTGGTACACCCTGCAGAGGGGGATCTACGATCAGGACCTGTTGGAACACAGGGCGACTGTTCCTCGGGCTGTCCGCCATGCCACCGCTTCCACCACACTGTTGTGGTCGCTCGTTCGGGAGGGGGAGAGCCGGGTAGGTTCTCCGTTTGAATATTCGAGTATGACTCTCGACTAATCAAACTGCCTAGGTTGAACGTTTGGAGCGCGAGGTGAAGGAGGCAAAGGCAGACGTCCTTTGTCTGTCGGCAGAGGGTCTTCAGATGAAGGAGACTCTGGCCGCCTTCCAGCAGGGGACAAACAAGGCGTTGGAGGCGATGGTGGCTAACCATCAAGAGTTGATCGCCGGGCTGAAGGTTAGGGACAACAACATCAAGGGGGCGCTGGCTAGGAGGGATGAAAAGGTTCTTTCAGCCTTTGCAGGTTTATGCAATGACTGAGAGACTTCTTCTAGACTGAACAGCTCGAAGACGTCGTGGCCGTGTTGACGGCGCAGGTTGCGTCCTTGCAGGATAAGACCTGCAACTGCAAGGAGGGTCCCATCTTAGTTGGGCAGGGAACAGCCGATGTTCCGTTCGAGTTGGAGTACGCCGACGAGGTGGTACTCCCATCGCCTAACCCGTCGTCCTATGCGACACCTCCGATCGAGAACGCGGTTCCCGTTCCAACTCCGGCTCTGGCTTCCACGTTGGCCGAGTCCGACAAGGAGAACTGTCGGCGTTGCCCGCTGCAGCCGATCAGTCAGCTGGTCAAGATCGAGGATGAGGTCATGGAGGTTGACCAGGCCGAAGATGCTCCGAGGGCCATTGAGGTACGTCCGGTGACAACAGGGCAGTGTTGTAAACGCTCTCGACGCCGTGTTGCTCATCGCATGGCTCCATCGGCTAATCCTTACCCGCGTCCAGTTGAGTCGGATGGTGACCAGTCTGGTCGAGATGAGGGACGGGGATACCGATATAGGGTCAACCGTCCTTACAGACAGGTCGAGTCGGAGATCCAGCTTCGCCACCAGCTTCGACTCACAAGACAGGATCCCACCCAGGGGTCCGACGAGGGAGACGGAGGGTCGCTCGTCGACTACGTCGATAGTGTTGCCGAGCAGTCACCCGGTGATGGAGATGTGGGATCAGGTGTTCCAGAGTTCGGTGACATCTGGGAGGCTGATCGGTCCGCTCGAAGGCATCTCTTCCTATCGGCTTGAACTAGTCGTTCAGCTGAGTGCCGAAGATGGTGACACCATGTTCGGGGAGGTTCTAGCGAGGAGGGGCCAGCACTACGATCTCCGGGATGGACAGTTGATGACCATGAGGCCTGCCGTAGATAGAGTTGACTTCTGATGGACGTTGATAGCACCGTATATAGCCATGTTGTTACGATTCGCTGGGAATGGTACACGCGTTTGTGTGTTTTGAATGATGGGTGTGAAGGATAGGGAGTGTGAAGCATTCAAAATATAAGAAGTGATAAGAAGAGTTCGAAGAAAGAGCGTGTTATAAAAGTTTTAAAAATACCATGTTCCTGACACCCATGAATCTTTGGGAATGTTTGTACTTTGACAAATAAGTACATCCATGGCCTGATGAAAATTACTCAAACTCACTGGAGAAAGACACTGGAAGAAAGTCAAGAGTTCACTCCATGCAAGCTGCATGAAGCAACAGCCATGTCAAGGCAAAATGAAAACAAGCATACAAGAGCTCCTGAGTCAGTGGAAGGACTGTTGGGTGTGTGAGTAGAAACTGCCTGGCCTAGTTTCAAGGGTTGAGATTTGGTCAAGAACATAAAATACAGGGCCAGTGATTGTTGGTTTTTCTTGTATATGGTTTATTTCATCTTGAATTTTGAGCAAGTGATGTTGTTTTTACCTTGCAGGGAAACTGGACTGGTGAGAATCTCAATTCTTCCTCATGATAAAGAGTGCTTGGCCAAGCACTGATGGGCTTCATTAAGCACCGATCAGCATCATTAAGCACTTATCAGCATCGTTAAGCAACAAAGTACAAATTTTGGTGATGATGCTGAACAAAAGGGCTCTATGCTTTTCATGTGGATGCTTAACATGCTGATCTGTGCTAATTTATGCTGATGGATGCTAATTCGTGCTGAGTTCAGCACAATCAGCAGATTGGTAAAATTTCTGATGATCTGGGGTGTAGACTTGAAATCTTCTACCCTGTGAGGGCGTAGGTTCGAATCCTACAGGTGCTATTTTTGGCCACCTTCCACCACAGGAACTACTCTGCAATGGCACATGGGCTGTGCACTCGGCACAGGTTACAAGGCACTTTGGCTGAGAGGTTAAGGCGGCAGACTTGAAATCTGCTCCTCATGGGGTGTAGACTTGAAATCTTCTACCCTGTGAGGGCGTAGGTTCGAATCCTACAGGTGCTATTTTTGGCCACCTTCCACCACAGGAACTACTCTGCAATGGCACATGGGCTGTGCACTCGGCACAGGTTACAAGGCACTTTGGCTGAGAGGTTAAGGCGGCAGACTTGAAATCTGCTCCTCATGGGGTGTAGACTTGAAATCTTCTACCCTGTGAGGGCGTAGGTTCGAATCCTACAGGTGCTATTTTTGGCCACCTTCCACCACAGGAACTACTCTGCAATGGCACATGGGCTGTGCACTCGGCACAGGTTACAAGGCACTTTGGCTGAGAGGTTAAGGCGGCAGACTTGAAATCTGCTCCTCATGGGGTGTAGACTTGAAATCTTCTATCCTGTGGGGGCGTAGGTTCGAATCCTACAGGTGCTATTTTTCCCACCTTCCCCTCCTCTGCCATGGCACGTAGACTGCGCACTCGGCACAGGATCCAAGGCACTTTGGCTGAGAGGTTAAGGCGGCAGACTTGAAATCTGCTCCTCATGGGGTGTAGACTTGAAATCTTCTATCCTGTGAGGGCGTAGGTTCAAATCCTACAGGTGCTATTTTTGGCCACCTCCCCCCACATTTTCCACCCTTGATCACAAATGTCAGGACCTGGAGTTACTCATGGTGGTCACACAATCATATAATGATGTAATGATACTCACACACAGATTGTTTGCTCATCAAGAACACAGTGTTCTTTAAATTTTATATTGTAACTCCCCTTTCCTCAACCCTTATATCTTCTCTTGATGTAAGATCACTTTGTGCCTTCTCTCATCCTTCCATTTATCCATATGGCTTGCACAATGGTTTATCTAATGTAGAGACACCATGCATCATGGGTTGACCTATCTCCTGGCTGAATCCAGAACCACAATCTCAAACAAGCCTCATCTGCCACCCTAGATCACATTGTCAACCTCCTACTTGACAAACCAGGGCCACTGTTGTCTCATCTTTGACTGGTTGGTTCCATGTACCACAAAGTACCTCTTCATTGAATCAGAATTGATTCCTCACTGCTGACCTCCAAGTTTACTCACTAGACGCAAACAGGACACTTTTCTGAATCCTGCCAGCTTGCCTGCATACTATATACCCACTTGCTGATCTGGTGGCCGTCACTGCTTCAGATGCCAAAGAGGATGGTTGCATCAGGAAATTTACAAATGTGTTGATCATGCTTAAATAACCACATTAAGCAGGTTTTATCACGTAAAGCATGTCAAGCATGCTGTAAATACAGCACAATTAAGCATTACAGCACAATCAGCACACCATGTGCAAATTTCCCAATGTGGATTTGACTGTTTACTCACGTTACACAATGTGACTGGCCCAGATTCGGAGCGGTATGATTCAGTGTTACTCGCTCAAACCGGAGGACATCGTGGTTCCTTTCCACAAGTTCTTAGCATCCCCTGCCTGAGGCGTAACCCCCCGGAGAGACCCCCAGTGGATGATGGCCCTGGTGGAGAGATGTTGTGATACCGTTGAATATGTCGCTATCAGTTAATGGTAACTTAAATGCTAGAGTCTACAATTGGGCCGATGCCTGGCTTGGTTATCCTTGGCTTTGCACTAGACTGTTTGCCAACAGCTCCATTTGATTTCTCCAACACGACGCGGCTCATACAAGTCGCGTGGGTCGTGGCGACACTAAAAACTATCAATTATGGAGAGCTAGACGTGGGCGAACTTCATAGAACGTATGATACAATGTATCGATAAACAACAGAATTATGACCGTACAAGGCAGAAGTTTTACATCAATGTGGTGACACCTCGCCGGCGCATTCCACTCGACCTGCAATACATCACAGCTTGGACGACATCCGCTTCAAATCGACCTCCGGCTCTCCATACTTGTTGGTCTTTCCACCCAGCTCCGTCTGTCTACTCAAGGCAGCAGGGGCGTCCTCGGCAAGCATAATGAGCTCGACCAACTGTACTTTTTCAGCCCTGTTGAATGTGTCGTCATTGAGAAGAGCATCCAGCTCAGCCTTCGTCTTGACCGTATACGAGATAGTGGCGTCTTTGTCCTTAGTAAAGGTGTTCAAGAGCTGGGTATACTCCCTGCGAAAAATTTCAACAGCGTCTCAAACAAGCGAATTGTACTGTCAGGGGTGGATAGCTTACCACGAAGCGATGTCGTTATACTTCCGGTGCATTCCTCGGATAAATCTCTCAATGGTATAGCCACTGTTATTGAGGACGAAGATTATTGGGGTCACGTTGTTGGTGATCAGCGTAGACAGCTCTTGGACGGTGACTTGCCTGAAGGCAATCTTAGCAAGTGCTACAATCCATTCACAGATTCATGTACTCACAGGCTTCCGTCTCCAATGAAAAGGATGGTCCTCCCCAAGTGGCAATCCCTAGCAGCACACGCAGCACCTAGGAGAGCACCGACGGTGTAACCGATACTACCCCACAAGACCTGGGTAATAAGCGTGGCCTCTTTGGGCAAGGGTACATCGATAATACCGAAACTCGAGGTCCCGGTCTCGGCGATTATTACGTCCCGCGGCCTGAAAAACTGTCCAACACGGGGCCACAACCACGCCTGGGAAATGATGTCGTTGGACTCGCTGGGAACAGGGAAGACGAATCGAGGAACGGAGATTTTGTGTGAGATGCTCCTAAACTCGGCCAACTTGGCAGTCAGTTTGGGAAGAAGCCTCTTGAAACCGATTCCGGGGAAGAGGGCGTGCAAGACTCTGGAATGGTCAGAATGAAGCTGATGAGAGAGACCAGTAAGTAGTCAATTACGTTTGACCGCGCTTTAAATTATCTACGTACCTCGACAGTTTTGCTCCTGGGAATGTGATAGGTGAAGTTGCCGGTGTTGAAGTCACTGAGCATCGATCCGATGGAGATCGTCAATTTCGCGCCCTCGACCTTCTCGAGGATATCAGGGTGACTGATGGATCCAACGTAAACCTATGAAAACCTAGTTGAGCCTCCCACAACGGTGATCTGAGAATTGACGCCGTACACCACCGTATCTAGGATGGCCCTCGTCGATAGCAGTTTTTCCCATGGGCGCGGCATACACTGGGAACTGAGTCTTATCCAAAAACTCCTTGAGTTCTTCCTTGATGTGGTGACGGATTGTGCAAGCATCGATGAGAACGGCAACATTCCCATTAACCGCTTTTACCAGCTTGTAAATGCTTTCGATAACAGAAGCCTCGGTCTCTGGGTCATTCTCAGGTGGCTCCCTGTTGAGGGGGGTTCTAAGCCTCGCGGCAGAGATCTTCTCGTACGCTACATCAGTGGGAAGGGTGATATACACCGGTTTCCCCTGGGTAAGAACGATCCCATGTCAGTATGCAGCGTCATATGCCACTACGTTGACACCATAACGCACGGAGAGTATACAATCGGTCAACACGCGGTCGATCTCGACGTCGGCGTTCTCTTTTCGGGTGAGGATGGCCTGGGAACGAGTGAACTGTTCGGCGGCTTTCAGGTACGCGTCGAATCTGAGGGTGCGGTCAGGTGGTAAGAATACAGGTTGGGTGCGGGTAGTTGTCACGAACCTTCCATCACCAAGGGTGTGATGCAACATGGGCTTAGTCTTGAGCTGTAAAGTATTCGGAACACCAACGATGTGGACGACAGGAACATGCTCAGAGAAGGCTATCGGTTGTATCAATGCGTTCAGCAAAGGAATGAGCGAACCAACAAATGTTTCTTACCTCCAGCGATACCATTGATGGCGCTCAATTCTCCTACGCCGAATCTGGAAAGGTTGAGTTCGATCAAGGTTCGAGTGAGGTAACCACTGACGTTGTTACAAGGGCACCCACGCCACTTTCCTTAACTCGAGCGAAACCATCGGCGGCATAGGCGGCGTTCAGTTCGTTGCTGTCACGAACAATCAACCAACACGCACGGAGGGGCGATTTGCTGCTCACCAGTTGCCGGCCCAATGAATTTTAGGGTCGTCCTCCACAAGATCCTAATGAATTACGATAGCGGTCAATGGATGAAGAACATCACACGAGATTTCGCGCGCACCAGGAATCCTGATGGTATCCAGGGTCAGTCATGAATTATATCGCGAGGAAGGTTGAGAACACACCGAGATTGAAATCTCCCGGAACACCGAAGAGGGTCTGCGAAACCGGAGTTCGCGTTCAGCACTTTCTAAACGCACCAGAAATCGAGAGGTGCTTGTTTAGCACTGCACGCTCACCGTAACACCTAGCTGAGCGAGACGTTCGAGCAAATAATTCCCAACTCTTATCTGGTGGGAGGTAGCAGGATGGTCATGTGTGGAAGTCTTGAGTTCGTGACGGAGATGGCTAATCTCCTTATGCAAGCTGGCCGTCGAAGTGGCGTCCTCGGTAGACTTGACCATAAGAGACAAAACTTGGATGAAGGTAAGGGCAAGGTTGTGGACTGGATGAGAATACAGAGGCTCCAAGGTTGAATTTAGCACCCTTATATACTTGCCTCCGGCCCCCGTCGCACTTGCAGGGGATCGTGGGAGGGCCTCGGTCGGCCTCAGGCAGGCCTGAGAGCAGACTGAGAATCATACTACAGGAGATACTAATAGCCCACGATAAGCTTCATCTCCGCACATTACGTGCCACCTGCAAGCGTTGCAAGCGGCACGGCCTGGAAACGCTCGAATTCAAGCTACGAACCCCGGGCCCAGCGACAGTCGACCGGAACGTTCCGAGCGAGGTTCAGTGTTCCCATCACCTGCGCCTACCCCCAGAGACAATTGGTACACGTTGACAGATGGGGCTCCGGCCCTTCTAGGCTTTTACCACCCAGCGGCGCCGACCTGCCCTCTCTGCCCTAATTCAGGACTCCTTTGTGACAAGGTGAACGCTACGATAGAGTACTCTGGAAGAAAACGCCCTCATCGACATTTCCCGAACTGATACAACGCTCGGCCAGCAGAAACTCATATCCCGGATTTTCAGTCCACTTGAAAAGACAAGGATCTGGAGTACCACTGCGATCCCGTTCATGTGTGAGCCTTGCCCCAGCGTGATGTGATTGTGCGAGTGTGCTCGTTAGCTTTGCAGCGTCGGCTAGTGCGAACATTGGCTGCAACTGCAACCGCCCCTCTGCGTCTATGTCAACTCTGTACGTACTCGGGATGGATCCGCATGCGCAGGCACGAAAGACCTGGGGTGGTGTCATAAAACGACCAGTGGACGTGCTGGAGGCGCGTGCCCGCCACGTTTGACACCCCCGCTGATTGGAGATAAGAGACCGAGCCGAACATGCGCGCACAGAGATGGCCATGTAAACAGTCATCGCAAGGTCCAATGTCTGGAGAAAAATATACAGGGGAATAGGCAACGAATCGACGCTACTCGATCTAGGTCATTAACCTCCCGCGCGAAGGGCCATGACAGCCGACGTGCCAAGCATCCACGATACCAAAGTACTATGGGACGATGGGGTCTCAGGGGTCTCGGCCGCTATTTCTTCGGAGATTGGAATCAGTTGAGGGGTGGTGATGGAATAAATACCGCCTCGCAGTCATCCAGCGGGATTTTTGTCCCCTCTCTTCCCACTCGTCCTACCC